GCTTCCACCTTAGCTCTAATACCATATGATACATGCACGCCCTTCTCCACTTGGTGAGGTAAGACTTGCACTTTGATTGTAGGACCTAGGAAGGAAGCAAGTGTTCCTGAAATAAGAAGACTTAAAATAAAATGGTTAAGTATGAATGAATATGTTGGTAAGATAAAAATGGAAGCGGAATAAATGAAGATGATGATAAGTTTGGAAGGATTTAGAGAAGTATTTGTATGGTGGAATGATGATATGGTTATGGTTGAGTTTATGAAAGAAAATGTAAGATGATGGACAGTATCTTAGAAAGACCAAGGAAGAACCAATGCTAGCCATACAAATCTCTCTAAGGGCTGGTAGAAAGGACTTGGACCCACTATCTCTAAAGAGATAGGAACCACAAGTATCAAGGTGGATAGAAGATAGGTGACGCCACAAGCACAAGAGACTTGATAAGTCGATACATTTCTTAAAGAACTAGAAAGAGAGAAAATCTCACAAGTTTTGATTAAACAAAGTTGGTTTCTTTACAAAATGAAAGATAAACGATTTATAGGCCTAAAGATTCCTAGGATACACATACAAGCTTTAATGAGTGAAGATTCATGGATGAATGTTCATACTTTAAGTAGATATAAAGCATGGCTTAGGATAATGAATTTGATGAATGAATGTTCATCTTTTAATGGAATGTATCCTTTGGCCAAATTCATCCCACCTTGTGTGAACTTGTTGATTTATCTTCTATGGATGAATGTTCATGAGTGTATCTTGGCTGAAATTCTTTCCCCCTTGTGTGAACATGACTATTTGGCTTCTTGCATGAATATGCATGAATGGATGAACTTAAAAGCCCTTGAATGAATCCTTACACCTCCTAAAAAAATGTGCTGATTCATTTTAATATTATTTTATCGTCCATTCATGTCTTCATTAATTCCTCCCATGCATAAGTCCTTTGAAGGAGATGAATGGTTGCAAATCCCGTATTTATTTCCAGCCTGCACTATCTTCAGTAATCTCGGCATATCTTGAGCTCCCAATATCGCATTGATACGATTCAAAGTGTGTTGGAAAGATAAGAGATAGGGGATTAAATGTTAAGAAGACTTCATCACCCAAAGATGCTTGTAACATGTTCAAAAGTGGCAATCAAAATGACTGACGTACACTGTCCATTGGATTGCCTTGAATGTACCTTGCACTAAATACAAAATGTATATAAGTTATAATGCTCAAGGTAATGAATAAGTAATAAGTAACATTCTAATGTAACACATGATTCTATGGCTAATACAATAATGCAATGGATATGATAACATAAGTAAGGAATGTGTAACATATGCATGAAACAAGCTTATTAAAGATGAGACATGCATGAATATCATATAGGATGCAAACATAGGACAATATATGAATATTCAAACATAGTTTAGAATGTCAAAGCATACTTATAACTCATATAAAACATAAATGAGTAAATAAGTAATAAAATAATGTAAGACTCCCTTAGAATTAGCAAGGTAGAACGTCCATGAAGTGATTATGTGTTGAAGAAGTTTGGTCCTTGGTATGATTGCATCAGATATGGTGAAGTTGGATGTCAACTAGAATATGGAAGCCATGCACTCAACGCTATCTCCATCGATAATGCACTCTATAATGGCAGTTTCCCCCTAGAAATGATGGGCTTGATACTCCTAGTTGAAAATGAGATGAACACATGAAATTTATAACCAAAGGAGCCTACCGTTTGTGTATTGCGGAGGACAATGAGACTCAATCATTAGTTTGTAAATCGATAGTGTCTTATCGAGGTTCGTCGCTTGTCTAATGCTACTTTGGCTCTTGTAAGAACAAACTGCTTTCAAACATCGAATAGGTTCAGAGGCATATGTCTATCGATCTAAGTTGTGTCACCTGCTAGAATTTTTATGAATCAATTTCACACATTTTTAGAGAGTTTGTGGCTGACAAAGCTACTTGGTCCACGTTGATTAAACCAGGTAGATTATTAGAGTTTCTTTGTATGGAATTTAGGATTTGGATTCATAAGAACTTGAGTCACCCATCTATTGTTGGGATTGTCGGTACACCCTATGACGTAGTGAAAAAATTAATTCAACAATCTCCTCTAGAGATTCAAGTACGAGAAACGAATTGAAAAAAAGGTTTTGAAATATTAACTTATTCTGTCTAAAACTTTTTAATTTGAGATTGCAGAGTTGTATTGTGAATCCAATTTCTTTCATATTATGTCAATTCTAAGTTGCCACGATAACTTTTTAGACAGGGGATCAAAAACCCAATTAGAACGAACTTGTAATTTTCATTTGTAAAGAGAATTAATTGATCGACTAATAGCCTGACTCTCTAAAAAAATCCCCAGTAGAGTCGCCAAACTGTTGAAACGATTTTTTCAAAGGGGAAAAAGTGGGTCTCATTTTAAAATAATTTTTGATGATCGGTTAATGATAAAACGTGGTTCGAGGAGTCGCCACCAATCTTTGGTTATGGTGTGATTGGGCAACTAAAATTTATTTTCCATTTTAATAAAATATTAATTTTAATTAAAACAAAAAACATGCGGTATGCGTTACCAAAATTCGAGTTCGGGAGTAGGTTACATGTAGGGAAGGATTAGCACCCCCACAGTGCCCTAAATCGGTACCTAGTTGATTAATTAATTGTCTTTGCAATGAGATTTACAAGTTCAAGTCTGATTTAATTTAAGATCCCCTAAAAATAATATTCTTTGAATTTTTGGATGAAACATAATAATATTTAATTATTTACTATATAGAAGAATCGATCTCTCATACCTTGAAGCAATCGATTCTTACTCCAATCGAAATAAAGAAATATTAAAATTGCATTCTAAAGTTCACTATTAATTCAAAATTACAACACCCAAAATAATTTTAAGCGTGAAAACCATAATATCTAATTATTTCCAATCGTGAATAAATGACCTTTCGTGCATTGAAACATTCATTTATTACCCCAATTGAAATAAAGATATATTACTATTTCGTCTTAAAATTCAATATCGATTCAAATGAAAACGATAATATCTAATGATTTCCAATCAAGAATAAATGACATCTCATACCTTAAAGCAGTCATTTATTGCTCCAATCGAAATGAAAAGATATCATTATTTCATCTAAAAAATCGATATTAATTCGAGAGAAAATGACAATATCAAATTATTTCCAATCGAGAATAAATGACCTCTCACGCCTTAGAGCAGTCATTTATTACTCCAACTGAAATGAAAAGATATTACCATTCTCGTTACCGATTCGAATGTTATTATTTCAAAAATCGATCCGAAAAACACATGCAAAATTAAAGTGAATTAAAAGCATATATCAAGCAAGTATAATTAATTATTTATTTTACCAATATTTAATGACAATAAGGATGTTCAATTAAATATCTCGAGATGAGTCCTTAGATTCGAACTAACGTTCTTTTCTCGATTAATTTATTTAAAAAACATGATCTTTTTCTCAATCCCTGAATTTTAGAATGAATTCAATTTAATTCATGTCACTAAATGGGATAGACTTTCATTTCAAAATCATCAAAAGCAACTTTCTTATACATTAAGACATTCACTTTACGACAATATTAAAAAGATCGAATATTATCCTTAGTCAATTTATATCGATTCGAGTCAAGTGATGCTTATGAGGATATCATGCAAAATTAATTAGGACTAAAATGAACTAACATGCAAACAACATGCAAAAATTAAAATAAAAATATGACTAAAACATAAACAATCAAACCATCATGCCAAAATTAAAAACAAAATAAAGTATACAAGTGACTAAAATGAGCATTTTAAATATTAAGTGCTAAAATTACAAATAATAAAAAATAAATAAAATAAGGGGACTAAATTAAAATAAATTAAAATTGCATGACCAATTTAAAATAAATAAAAAAACATATTTAGTGTTTAAAATATACACATGTATATACTTCAGGGACAATTTTCTAAATATTCCATTTATTTTAACCTAAAATATACATTCGAAATAAAAAAGGGAAAAATACTAAATCAATCCCTAAGTATTTAAAAAAATTAAATAGCCACTACACATGACCAAACTGCAAAACACACCTAAACATACAGGGATTAAAAAGCAAATAACCCTAAAAAAAATCATGCATAAAAGTGGGTAAATTATAGAATAGTCCCTACATATGACAAACATGCAAAAACACGACTAAACTAGGGGGACTAGACATCAAATAAACCAAAAATTACAAAGTATAAACATAAATGGTTAAATTATGAAATAGATCCCTACACATGACCTTTTTGCAAAAAGGTGCTAAACGTTGGGGGACTTAAGAGCAATTTTCCCTGAAATTTTGCTTATAAATACAGCTTAATTTTTTTTAAAATCATTTGCAACCGAAAACTTAAAAAACCTTTCTTTTTTCTCTCTCAAAATAATCGGCCGACCCACTGCCAGTCGTCCCAAACAACCTCTTACCGCCGTCCGGTCGCCGGACACGGTGGTCTGACTTCCCAAAATTACCCAAAATGTTCTAAAAAACAGATTTACACCCCTAGCCATCTATCTAAGCCTAAAACTACCCTAAAGAGCCCAAATAAGCTTCGGCTACTCGCTTTTTTCAACTTCGGCCGCCGTAAATACGAATCGGTCGGACGGTTCGACTCCCCCTCAGGTGAACTACTTAACCCTTTCTATTTTTCTTACAGGCAAAGTTCTGGTTTTTTATATTATTTTTCTTCAAAAATGGAAATAAAACCAAACAAAAAAATACCTTTACTCTATTGAATCCTTTTTTATTGCTTTCTCAAACCAAAAGGGGGAACCACTTTTACATGTCTTGTTCGGGTTTATATTACCCCAAATTTACAAATTTTTGTTTGTTTTTTCAGATATGAAATGATTACATAAACTCATTTTTGCGTGTGGTATTGGTTTGATTTTGCCTTGCGTGTGTATTGATTTGTTTTTAACATGGAAGGGCTTCGGATTGGTGGTGGCATTGGAGGTCGTAGAGTGGGTGAAACGGCGACGGAAGGTTCTGCCATGGTTGGTAAGCGGCGGTGGCTGTAGAGGGGTTAGGGTAAAACCCTAACGGTTGGTCAATCTAGACCATTTGATCGATACAAATCCAATGGCTGAGGGTGAGCGACGACGGAGATGTTAAGGATGAAACCCTAACCGAGTTTAGGCTCCAAAACGGGTCATGCTTTTACTGGGCCTCGGGTTTTGGTTCAGATGAGGGTTAGCTATTGGGCTTGGTTTGGATCTAATGGCCCCTTTGTATTGGGGCCCAACTTGGACTGTTGTAATTGGTTTACAAAAAATAAAATAAAAAAGTATTAATTAATTAATTAATAATAATAATAATAATAATAATAATAATAAACAATAATAAATAACCAGACGAAAACTACTGTCCACATAAGAAATGAGTTGTTGAAAGGATTGAAATCTGGGAATCCAAGAAGTTAGAGGTTTGTTGGCCATTGGGAGTTGAAAGGTAGAGCTTCTACAATGGAAAATTTGTGTGAATTTGGTTGCTTTTTCTTGACAACTTTTAGATTCATCGGTGTGCGTGTAAAATTTATTTATTTATTTTAATTTCACATAAATTTATAGCTGAATTAAATTTAAATTCACTGTATTTAACCATTTACTTACGAGTGCATTTTTTTTAGTATTGTACCAAAATTATGTATCTTTTTTCAGTGGAGTTCTTAAGTTCTGTACTTATTAGTTTCATTTTCTACTTTTTAGTAATTAAAAAGTCAATAAAAAATTACCACCATTAATAATATTTTTAATGAGGATTTGAGTATTTAATTTAAGAATAAACTAGATTAATAATTATTAATATTCGAATTAATTTTTATTTTTATCATTGAAATTTGAAAAACTTATTTTAATTATAAATTTTATCGATTTATAATAAAATCCGAGGCAATCATTAATGTTTGTTACTTAGAGTTTATTTGTTTCCATGTAATTGATTTTTTAAAAATGTTTTTCTCATTTTTTTAGTGTATGGTTGACGGAAAACATATGATCAATGTAATTTATTTTTCTAGTCAACTGAATTTCCTTTGTATTTTTTGAAAAATGACTTACGATTTGATTTTCCGTAAGTCATGTTACGAATTTTTCACTTCAAAACATAAATACTCAAAACTTTATTATATATATTATTTTAGTTTATTTTAATAAAAATATTAGTTATCGAATTATATTTAATTATATTCTTAATATTATAATATATAATTAATATTATTTATTAATTTCATAAAAATAATATTATTGAATTATTGAATATTTAAAATATACTCCTTAAAATATGATATAATATTTCTATTTTAATATTATAATTTTTAATATCTTAATAATATTATTATTTTAATAAGTAATTAATATAGTTAATAATATATTATTCTTATTTTAATAAATAATTAATATAATTTATAATAATTTTATTTTCATAAAATATATTAATCATAATATTTTTATTTATAAAATTATAGATATAGTATTTAAATATAATATTGACATAAATAATATTAAATTATTTTAATATTTAAAAAAATTATTATTATTTTAGTAATAAATAATATTATTTATTGTATTTGATGTTTATAATAAATAATTTTTAAAAGTTACCAATTAGTGGAAATGAATTACACAACATCATTCAAAAACCGTAAAACGATTTTTAGAAAATTTATCCAAAAATATTATTTATTTTACGGAATTCATTTTTTTAAATCTTTTTTCCTGAAGCAAAGGAATCCTTAGTACTAGGGGTGAGCGTTCGATTGAATCGAGTCAAAAAATTTTGAGTTATTTGAGTTAACGAGTCTTATTTTATAACTCGGATTTGATTTGAAATTTTTTCGAGTTGAGTTGGTTTTATAAAATTCGAGTTGAGTCGAGTCGAGTCAAATTTTCGAGTTCTTATTTAAATTTAATTATAAATATTTATAAAATTATAAAATTATTTAATTCTAATTTAAATGATATTTTATAATCATATATAACATATATACATTTTTTGTATTTTTTCATATGTGATTTACATATATCATATAAAGTCGAGTGACTCAACTCAAACTTCGACTTAAACTTGAAAATCAATCTACTATTTACTAAAAATTTTACGTTATTCGAGTTGTATTTTACAACTTGATTTAATTTGAATTTTTTTAGTCGAGTCGATTTTATGAAATTACAATTTGAACTTGATTCAATTCGAGTTTTTTTTAATCGAGTCGAGTAAAAAACTCAATTTTTTTAGTTGAGTTTTTCTCACATCTACTTAATACCATAGTTTGATCGGCACGCGAAGTAGTTGATTTGGAAACATTTTCTATGTTAGCCTATACTATAACTGACCCCGCTTTGACTCTAATTTAAATACATAAATTTTTATTAATAGGAAATTTTGAATTTTAGATCTTAATTTTGAATAAGAAAAAGTGAAAATAATGAAGTTTAATGATATTTAAGATTCTCAAATTTTTATAAAAAGTTTAATGTGATCTTCAAACTATTTTTACACTTGATATGACTCAAATTTAGAAAAAAAAATTATACCAAATAATTACAACGTTATACGTTATGAGAAACAAAATAAATAAAAACATTAAGAAACCTTTTAGAACAAAATTAAAATACTAAAAATAACAAAATCCAAGCTTACTTGATCGTGAATATGAAGCTGGAAGTTTAAGCTGTGAAGATCTCAATGCATGGGTAGAGGTGTCATAACGTCTCCTTCGGGGATTCGTTAGACTTAAAAATTTAATTCGAGGGAAAGACGATGAAATTTGGGTTTGAAACAATTTGATTTTGGAGTCGCCATCAACCTTTAAGCTAGGTAAGTTGAAAACTCAAAACATCATTTTAATGAGTTCAGAAAAATCATTTAAAAGACGAAAAATGGTCTGTATTTTAACAAAAAATCATTTTTAAGAGTTGTTTATTTGATGTTTAAATGTTGGTAAATTACAAACTCGAAAATATATTTAAATTATAATCCTTCTATTTATTCAAGTTTATTTAAAAGATGTCAATTTTTTTTAAAAAACTAAAACAATTTTGCTTTTGCAAATAAGGAGAGAGCTTTTTTTATGTTTGATGTTTCTAGTTTACAAGAAAAAAGGGGAGAGGGTTTTTGCTTGCTTTTTTTTCTTTTAAAGCCCCCACTATTACAAATGGGTAAAATTGTTAGCTTGGTCCCTGAATTTTATTCTTTCTTTTATTTTAGGACAAAATTAGGGATTATAGCTGCCCCTCTTTGCTCGTCTGTTGTGTAAACAATGACGAAGTAAAGATAAATAATGGCCTAATTTTGTCTAGCTATGATGTTCGCTCCACATCTGGAGCTCCAATTCTTTGTCTGAAAATAGAGGATCCAGAGATGACATTGTTCCTTCATGTTGAGAACTTTGGTTCAATCTAGATATAACTTGGTGTTGAAGACGACACTGCTCATCCATGTTGAAGAGATCTAGACGCTTTCAGATAAATTGTTTGTTGAAGATGATGTTGTTCCTTCTCATTGAGGAAATGGGGTCAATCTGGAGATAATTTGGAGATAATACGGTTCCTTTTCGTTGAAGAAGTCTGATTGTCTAAGGATAACACTGCTCCTTCGTATTTAGGAGATCTGGTCGGTGGACGACATTGTTCCTTCGTTTTAAGGAAGTCTGGTTGTCTGAGGATGACACTGCACCTTTGCGTTGAGGAGATCTGGTTGGTGGATGACATTGTTCCTTTGCGTGGAGGAAGTCTGGTTGTCTGAGGATGACGCTACTCCTACGCGTTGAGGAGATCTGGTCGGTGGACGACATTGTTCCTTCCTGCTTAGGAAGTATGGTTGTCTGAGGATGACACTGCTCCTTCGCGTTATGGAGATCTGGTCGGTGGATGACATTGTTCCTTCGTGTTGAGGAAGTCTGGTTATATGAGGACGACATTGCTCGTACGCTTTGAGGAGATCTGGTCGGTGGACGACATTGTTCCTACATGATGAAGACGTATATCCGTCTTTAGGGATAATTTGGAGATAACATGGTTCCTACGTGATGAGGAAGCTTGATTGCCTAAGGATGATGTTGCTCTTACGTGTTAAGGAGATCTGGTCGGTGGACGACATTGTTCCTACGTGATGAGGATGCATATCCATCTTTAGGGATAATTTGGAGACAACACGGTTCCTAAGTGATGAGGAAGTTTGATTGCCTGAGGATGACGATGCACCTACGTGTTGAGGAGATCTGGTTAGTGGACGATATTGTTCCTACGTGATGAACACTTCTAGCAGTCTTTAGGGATAATTTGGAGACAACACGGTTCCTACGTGATGAGGAAGTTTGATTGCATGAGAATGACGCTACTCCTACGCGTTGAGGAGAGCTAGTCATAGTTGCCAATGATTGACTTGAAATGAAATCTTCTTTTTCCAACATGAAATTGTGGAATGAAGTCTTTGTTAACGTTGAATTCATGTCAAATATTTGAATGAAAATAAATGAGTGAAAAGAAATTTGTTTCAAGAGGAGCTATCTCAGGTGAGATAAAATTTTGTTTCGAGTGAAATATTTCAAATTTTTTGTTTCAAGGGAAAACTGTCTCAAGTGAGAAGAAATTAGTTTTTAAGAAAACTATCTCAAGCGAGCAATTATGTTTCATGTGAAATAATTTCAAAATTTGAGGAAAATTTGTCTCAAGCTAGACAAAATTTGTTTCAAGATAAATAATCTCAAGGATTTGTGTTTCAAGAGAGATTGTCTCACGCGAGACAAAATTTATTTTTAAAGAAAACAATGTCAAGTGACATCAATTTTGTTTCAAGAACAAATTGTCTCAAACGAGACTAAACATTGTTTCGGGAGAAACAATCTTTAAGGTGACGGACAGTATGCTCCTGCATGTTGAGGAGATCTAGCTGTCTTTGGAAGATAGGATCATTCACTTCATGATGTCAAATCTATGGATGACATTGGTCCTTCACATTGAGGTCATCTAATCATCACCAAACTTTTATTTCCTGAAAGA